CGAGAGAGAGAGAGAGAGAGAAAGAGAGAGAGAGAGAGAGAGAGCCACGTCGCCGACACGCCGAGGGAGGGAAACTCGGCGTGTGCCGATAACGACCGCGGCGGAGGTCACTGCATTGCGGTGAGTACGTCGAACTCTGTTACACTTTGGCTTTCTCGCGACGCGTTTTCGTACGGCACAAACACGGCACGCCTCGTCCCGTCCCGTCCCGTCCCGTCCCGTCCCGTCCCGTCCCATTCCGTTCCGTTTCGTCTCGTTTCATCTCGTCTCATCTCGCCTCGTCGAAGGCGGAATCTCGCCGCGGAAGCGGCTTTTTCACATCCTTCGCATGTGAAAGCGAACCCTGTCGGCCGTCTGGGGTTCATTACCCCCTTTGGTAGCGGGTATATACGCGATATGTACGCGGCGTCGCGCTCGGCTGCCGCAGCGAGTATTTTCCACCTCCGGATTATTCGCGGATTTTTCCCCGCGAGAACCTCCGAAATTTTTAAATATCCCCCCACGACGACAAGTTAAATCGTAGTAGCAGATTGACCGCATCGTTTAAAGCGACGTTCGCGAGCGCGAGTGGTATACCGGTCACCGGGGTGCTTCTGACATTTACCGCATTCTCTCGCGATCGATTGACATTTCGAGTTTGGGAGTTTTGTACGGACGATTATATGGGTATGTTAAACATCTTCTCGCAGACTCTTTAAATATTGCAAATACTGAAGATGCATGCATTACCCTAAAGCAACACGAGTAGTACTTGTACTGCAGCCATGATGTTTACACATTTGCGATAGTGGAGTTACGTAAAGTAGATTGCTCTAAGAAAGCAATAGAAAGAGTAGAGAGAGGATTAGTTCTTTATAAATATCAATAATATGTAATGTTTATTATACGTAGGAGCTGAACTTTAGTATTTATGAAGTAGTTAATTCTAAAATTTATAATTTAATTATTAATTATATAATACATAATATATATATATATATATATATATATATATATTTATAAAGAACTAATTCTTATATTTTATATATAATTTTATAATTTTTAATTATATAATGTGTGTGTGTGTAAAAATGTAATACGCGTGATGTGTACGTCTGTACGTAACTAATAATCAAATACGTTTGATTAATGTATATATACATATATACATTTGATTAATTAATTATTTAAAAATTTATCCGCGTATGTGACGCATTAAAGTGCTTCTCGTATTTCGTTAATAACATGCATTAAAATTTACTCAAAAATATTACCCCCATATAAACTCAATGCAAAATACTCCACCGTGTATAATTTAATCATCTACGAATATTTTTCATGCAAATTAAAACATTGCTGTTAAAATGGAAATATATAATATGTCGAGTGTTTTATTCTATTAACAGCAATTAATATCTTTTACATTCGCGAATTATATGTATGTAATCATTTAGAATTTGGTGTGTCCAAATGATACATATTCTGCATATTAAAAAGAATTAAAATTATTTTACCATCAGGTATTTAACCTACCTAAAACTATGATTGTGTTAAGCTATTAGTGTGTTTTTATAATTATCACTTTTGAAATATTTGCTATCACTGCATCACATCGTATGATCATTATTATCATCATTTATTTGAGCCATTTAAATGTGAAAATATCCCGCGTAAAAATAATTTCAATAGACAATTAGCATAATTAGCCGTTTCCATTGCGTTAGAGCTATACTTTTAACATTTATCGCGTGGCATTTCTTCGTTTGACACCACTCGTCGTTGTTATGTAATATAATATCCGAGAGAAATTTTTCAACGTCGTTATATCATAAGCGCGTTGGCGCGTTGACGTATTTATATTGCGTCAATACTACTGCCTGACACAACAATGTCGTTTAGCAAAGATAAATGCAGATAAAATTCAGCGATATTCGCGCAATACATGTTACACGTTAAGCAATACATATTGTACAAAGTCACTCCATATTTCTGACTTCTATTTAGTGAAGCACTAATCTCAAAACGGGAGGAACATTAAATCCCCTTAGTCGAGCACATCGCAGCAGTAGCAATTTTATTTGATATCGACTCGGCGATCCGTTTTTGTTTATCTCATGTAGTTACCTTGCGGTATCTCTCGGCAATCCACCGGTAGTATCTCTTCGTATTTTCCACATTTTTTTTTTCTATCGAGAGCAAAACCCTCGCGCGTGCGCGCGCGCGCGAGTAAATATCAGGATGCAGAGTGACATAGAGAGTCGACAATCACCATCAAGCGTTAATTAACATTCGATAATGTCCTTTTATATTTCTGAGCGTGTCGCTTTGTTTCGAGCCATTTATTAAAGCACGTTAGTCGCTATTGTCTTCCTGTATCCCGCGTGCAGCTTAGGAACATCACAAAGTGAGCTTTTCATATTAATTAACATACCTTAACAAGGCTTCATTATGCTCGAATATGTTCCATTTTTTGACGTTAAATTAGAAGTGCAATTTCACTTCTTTACTTTAACTTGTGGTGGGATTTCAATCCTTTTTGCGATCAATTTTGAGAATTGGGAACCTCTCTGAATTCCTCTTTATCTCGCACGAAAATTTGTTAACCCTTAATTTATTCCGAAAATGGCAAGAAACAACGGGCGGTCGTCAAGTTTCATTATTTATTCACCAAATTGATGTACAATGAACGTCGGAATTGCCGTAGAATAGACAAACGATGCATCGCGTTAATTATCGGGCGCGATCGCAATTAGTAGCGTTTTTTTCTTTTTGTTTTTTTTTTTCCCCCCGTATTCGATTCGTGTCCACCCGAGCGAATGTCCAGCACGATGCAGCATCCAACGAGAAGATGGCGTCGATGAATTGGCTGGTGAGTAAATTTTCCGTCCTTACATTTGCGTGGCTAATTGTTCATTTATCCAGCTCGCGATTACACGATGTCGTCACGTTGCACAATCGCGTCTCGTACGCGCCTCGTGCTACTCGCGATACGTTAATTAATGAAAAACTAGAAATTGTTCAAATATCCACGTGAAACGTTTATATCAGAGCGATAAATATTACGTAAACGCGTCATGGCATTGTAACGTGAGATTATAACAAGGATATTGCGCCTCGCGAGAACAAGACTTCCCGGGCGAGCATTTCCGACCCGGTTCGGGTTTGTAAACTTATCTGTTTGAAACATCTCGTCGCGGGAAGGGACTACCTCCGTCACACAATTCCGAGTTTAGTCGCAGGTAATTCTTAATAGGTAAAACGTGACAATCACACGCCTCATTCTCAGATGCACGCGCGATGCTACAGGAACGATCCTTTTGATCGTGATAAAACGAGGAGTGCGCGCTGCTCGTAAATATCCGGCGGTGCACATCGCAAAATTATGTCGTCGGGCGAATCACGTTTCGCAGGGTGGATGCCGATAGTGTCGTTGTGTACCGGCACGACGGTACAATACAACCTGGAGCATTCCCATTCATTCCCCCGCATTCGCATCCTCGGACGCACGTTTCTGAATTTTAATCTAAATTCTTGTTTAGTTCGGCGCTCGCCTCTCTCCCTCTCTTTTTTTTTCCCCCCTCCCCTTTCCCACGGCGCGACGTCGACCTTCCTCTCTCGGTCGAGGAATTTTTGCTCGTCCTCTCTGCCATTCCCTCTCGCGGTTGCCATCGAGCGTTCGGATCGACACGTGTTACATGTTATAATTACGGAAATTTTCGGGAAACCGTAGACGTAGACGGTGGCCTCGTGTTTTCAATGAAAACCTCGAACGATTTATTTATATGCGGAGGCCGATGCTACACGACACCCGCATGGTGCAATCTGACAGATAAAAATTCAGCTTTCTCTCTTGTAAAATGCTTTTAACGTTTTGAAAGGTGTCCTAACCGCAGAGAAATAGAAAAAAAAATTTTTTTTAGAAAAAAATTATTTGACGCCGAATGCATGACGTGTACCGTTGTATGGTTTGACTTCTGCGACATTGCGTCACATTGTTAACTTAACAATTCGCAATTTCAAGTCTCGATTTTTTTTTTTTTTTACATATATGTATCTTTCATAACGCATTGTC